GGCGGTTATGCCAGATGTGACCGAGCTCCGATATAAAAGAACCCCAACCCCCACGAAACGAAGGTATTGAAGGTAGCACTTTCAGCACTCTTAACTCTCTGTATCTTCTTTGAGTTTTCCCCAGAGTTCTAACTTAGCCATCAGAGTGTTCCCTCCGGGAGAGCTCCCCTGGAACCCTTCATCTTCTTCTTCCTCTCAGGTGCCGTCCATCACAACTTGGAGCCAACTCTCGGCCAGCTAGGAGTGCCCAGATTGTGCTGCATCAAGATGAAATACCCCAAATACTTAGCGTTCTGAGGTGCGATGAGACGACCAGGTCACCCCGTGATGGTCCGAGAAGGGATCATATATGCGTTTAGATATTTCATAAAAAGTGGCATAGCACGCCCATCCCGCAATGACCTAATTACAGTTAGCAATGTCAATAATTGCGATGAACAATCCAAGCATATCATAACAAACCAAGTAACATAAACCCGGGCGATAACAAAGCCATAATCCGACGTTTGCATGCAACAACTATACTCTGAGCATAGATGCCTACTCAAAGCACAAAACCACTTTGCATCGTACAAACTCTGTGCGTTCTATTCATCGCAAAGATGAACATATAAAACAAACTGCTAAGCCCTACAACTACCAAGTTGCTAAGAGAATAATATTTCTGTCTTCACGATTTGATGAATGGTCAAAAAACATGGCACAAGTGAACCAACGGAAGCAAGGCTACTAAGAACATACACGATTTTGATGAAGCCTACTAGCACTACGTTCAGCCCAGTGGGCCTACTAGCATTGCGCTTACCCCAATATTTCACACAAGAGCAGAATTTTATCGCATAAATCAATAGAAAAAGAATCAGCAGATAACATACAGAGAATATGAACATCATCTTTTCATTAAGTAGTGAATGTCTCTACAAAGTGCAAACACTAGTCCTTATACCACTCGTCCCTCATTCGCGTGATCTCCTCCAAACTCTGCCATTGCGATTTGATTTCTGTAATCTTCCTATCCTCCTCCTAAAATTGCCATACTATTTTCTGTTGGTAGGCAGCCTCGTCAAACAAAGCATTCTGTTTTTCCTTAGCCTTTGCAAGATTTTTCTGGACAACCCTTTGGTGCTGGTGGAGTTCATCGGAAGCTTTCGCAGTCAGAGGCTTGGACTCCTTGTAACTGGCCTTCTAGAAAACGTGGGCCAAGAGAACCACCCTCTCCTTTATCCAATCCATCTTGAAACCCAAGAAGGCAAATGATGCACAAGTTCTCATCAAACAGGCAAAACCAGACCATGAGAGTTCATCTATCGACTGGTCCATAATGCAGTTCATCACTGCCGCTATAGTGTTCAATGATGCTTCCATGACCACTGGTGGGACGTCAGTCATCGTTGGTAGCCACCCTTCCTGAACAATCAATGCTGTAGTTTTCGCCACAGAGTTTGAAATGACGTACTTTTCATGCTTGCAAAGGCCCTGAATGGTGACCGGATCGGAAATAAAGTAACCTTGTGGCACGAGCTCATGCTTTTCATAGTAATCCTTGAGCTCCTAACGCACCAATGTGAGCTTCTCAGAATACGACCTAGGCTCATCTTGCGATGAAGTCTCAACACCCACAGGATCAGGTTCAGGTTGAGTCTCAAAGCATACATTTAGCTCTGTTAAAGCCTTGGAATGTTGGCATTGCATTGCCGATACCTCTCCAAACGGTTTTAGTTTCCCCGTGGTCAATAGGTACAAGCTCCTCTTTGCGTTGAGATTCTGGCATCACATCCCCGCGAGGCTGCTTGGGCAATACAGCAGTAACCATCTTCTCATGTTCCTCCCCAAGAGATTGCTCTAGCACCACAACAGAGGGCCTCTGTTCATGCCCACACTCGCTTACTAGACTATTGGGGGGCTACTCGGACACAAATGGCCACGCTCATGCACTTTCTCGACCCCGACCACCACACCATCTGGGGTTGCTCCAGCACAGGGGGCTCATGCCTTTGCGCTACCTCAATCTCACCCACCGAACTCCTAAGGGGCTGGTCTCGCACAAGCATAGAGGGCTCTTGCCCTCGCATAGGGTCGACATGCACAAAATCGCCAACAACGCCCTCTCCATCAACCCTTGCACCCTCCGAGCCAACAGAATGCTTCTGAGGTGCCTTCTACCCCTTAGTAGGAGGCTGCAAAGACTTCAAACCTTCCACCAAACACCTAATCATCGGTGCCGCTGAGACATCCGTAAAACTCACATCACAAAATCCCTATGACAGAGCAAACAAACTGTGATCAAAACAAGTAAGCATAACATATGAAAGAATCAAACAAAAACTGAATTACGCATACCTCTTCACCCACAATACCCTCGGATGTAACTTGCGGGATTCCAGCTTCAGGGTGAGCCTCATAGCATCTACCTGCTTTAACACAAATGACTACAATAGCACAGTTAGTACATAATAGCAGATGACACAATAAATCCAAACATAAACAAAACAAGAATACTATAAGCTTACTAATCCAGAATTTTCTGACTCCTTCCTCCAAGGATAGGGAGCCATCTTCTTCACTCTCCCATCGGCGACTGGAATTGTAACCACTACAGCAGGAGGAACCGGGACCGCTGATTGATCCGATTCCTTATCCATTGCCTCCCCAACCTTAGGAGAAGTAATTGAGAGATCCAGTACAACCCCCTCAGAATGCTCCTGTCGAGCAATTCCAATAGGATGATCATTTGCATGGGATGCCAGAATGTCAGACTATGATTCACGAATGGCCKCAATACTATTGGCCAGAAAGACCTTGTCCTGGACCTCTTCTAGGCAGTAGGACGACTGCCTTCACCCTCTTCAACAGTAGGGTGCTTACCTTTATGAACAGCGCCCAAGAACTCCTGCTCCTCTACATCAACCTAAAGGGCATTAGATTGGGAAGGGGCCTCCTCCTGCCCCTGTTTAGCTGCATGACCCAAAGGGGGGGCCATAACATGATGAGGGAGGGGATCAGCAACCATGAATAGTTGCAGCCTGCCAAGAAGAGAGCAAAGATAAATCCATCGCACAAATTTACAAACCTCGACCCTCTTGAAACCGGCTAGAGGGAAACAAGTGACACCAGGAATAGCCAGGCTATTTCAACGACTCCAGAAAACATCTTCACCTGCAGAGCCTCTCTAGCATAGATTTACAAACCTCAATCCCATGTCATCATAACCAAATTGGTGGAGTAACCGGTCAAGTCGGTAGGTAGTCACTTGAGCCTCTCCGGCACGACCCATATATGCGATGACGTCAGGCCAGAGAACAAGCTGCACAACACATGCAAGAGGATGGTCGGCCTCGATGGCACACTGTTGATTGCCATCCTCAGGAACATTAGCAGCAATACAGAATGGCATGGAATGACGGACAAGATGAACATACGGCCACCAAACAATACCTCGGGCAAAGACAGTTTCAGCTCGATCTCAACAACACCAAACTGTCTAAGCCTCTTGGCGCTGAGCCCCTGCTTCCCTCGGTAAACACCCAGAGACTGTTCCTTGGCTGGATCACCCTCCAGAGTCGCAATGGTAACGATTAAAGGAGATAGCTGACGGGGAGTAACACTGAGTTGAAATTGGTCATAGATAAACATAAAGATAAAAGGAGAGAAGATGTAATTGCAACGCCGCTTGTAGCTTGGATCCATTATTTGATGGACAGTGTAGTCCATCTAGTTGAACAGGAAGCCCAAAAACATAGAAGCCAACGGCAATTGATGGCCACCAGTAGCAAGAACAACAAGAGAACCCAAAACCATCCGAAGGCCATAGTTAGGGACACCGGGAAATAAGATGACACTGGCTGTTCCCCTTTCAAACCATGATGTCATCCGAACCCTTGCTCTCATACCAGTACGCTATCCACCCTTCTAATGACATCTTCCCATGGGCAGATGGTTCATCCACTTGAGACTTTAAAACACGGATCTCCTCTGTGGGTTCTGCGCACAAGCGGACAGATTGGCAGGATCGATTTAGCAAACTATAAATGGTGTACGGATATCGTTCCTCCTACTGGAAGGGCCAAGAGAGCAGCAACATCTTCGATGGTGATGCCAAATTTGCCAAAAGCACCCACAAGGTGTGAATACGGAAACACCAATTCTCTAGAAGAGGCTTCATATAACTGACCCCCTCCTTGTCGGGGAGATCCATAAAGTAGTTGATGAAACGGAGAAGACCGGCATCACAAAGTAACAGGAAAAACATAGGGTTCTCCAGCCCAGTCATAGTAGTTTACCAGTGACTTTGAGTGATCAGTCCTCAGCTTGTGACACTGGAATGATAGTGAACAATCCATACGACCATACAAACACATCATCTCCTCTTCCTCCACGGCATCAAACTCACCGCCTTTACCCCTCGCTACTTGCATAGGAGGCCAGAAACCCTTCCCACCATCTGCCATTTTCACAGCCTCACGCTCTAAGAGCATATCTGCAGTATCTACTACTCTGAGCACGAGGAGCCATTGCAACAAATAGGTTTGATGAAATGGAAGGATTATAGAACTCAGAAGAGAGATGAACCAAACACAGAAAGCACAACGGACTCACAACGAGATTGCAAATAGAAAGCACAAAATCTCCCCAAGCATCATCCTCTTATAGAAACCTCACACGAGTCTGGAAGACTAAAGGAAATGATTACCGGTTTCTAATTGTCACTAAGCCAAAAAGAATGCCCATGAAAATTACAAAATTACCCTCAGGAAAGCAAGACAATCGGTAGACTAATTTATAAAGGACTGCCACATCAGAAAACCACCACCTCACAAAAATCGACACCTAACCCTGAGCCACACGCATGTCTATAGCACATTAAGGCGAGTCGACAGTTGCACGTGGACATARGAGAAACTACATCATACACATAACGGTCAAACTCACTGCCACCAAATAGCACAAGAATGTGGAAAGCCCTGCATCCTCCAATGAATTCATAGGGAGATCGAAGAGTAGTAAAGTAGGTACACCACCAACACAAAAGGTAAAGGGATGAGAGATCTATCATATGGATGGCCGAACCCTGCAGGTAGGTTGGGCAAAATTTCAAAAATTTCTCTCTCCCATGTGAGAATCACATTCCTTATTTTAGAAAACTGCATTTTCAATGATCAATCTTGAACCTAAACTAGACTAGATCTGAAACCAAAAGGTAGGAGAGGGATATACTTGATACGGAGTAGTAGTAACCCCCAAYGAAGGTGTTCACACCCAAGGAGATTACCTAAGACTGYTCCCACTAAAGATGACACAGCGTAGGGTGGAGTAGAATTAACAAGATGACTCTTCAGTAAGAACCTAATTCTTCACCAAGAATCTGATAGAGGGCGAGTGAACACGACTTCAGATCACCTTTTCAGCCAAAAGGTGATATCAAGAACCCTTTCTTGATCGCTCCTACAAGTGGAAATCGAACTAGTAATGGCGGTAATAGCAAGAGAAGGCAAGAGCAGAATATGGCGTCAGTCCAAGTGTATGTTGTCTTCTCTCTTGAATCAGTAAGAYTGAAGGATGATTTGGGGTTCGCCCTTCTCTTCTATTTATAGCCTTAAAGAGAGGTTCTCCTAATCCCATTAGGAGTTTCCTAATCCAAATCTTGTATTTGGATCTAGACTCTCTTTAAGAGATAAGGATAATCCCTTATCTTATCTACAGATAAAGATTAACCCTCCTAATCCAATTAGGAGTTTCCTGATCCAAATCTCTATTTGGATCTGGACT